TAATGTGACGGTCAATCCCACTATTCGTTGGTAAAAGAGTAGCCCAAGAGTTGGCGGTGGGTGGTGATGACTAGCTGCCTTCCCTCTAGTCTTACTCTACTAAATTAGGGACGGCTAGCACAGATAGCCCTTGTGTAGCTTTGCGCGAAATTCCAAAAAACAAACAAAAAACAAACAAACAATAAAAAACATTCCTTTATAAATATATTTTATGGCTTTAAGTGTGAGGTTTTTATGTAGAATGATAATAGGCATGTTCTAATTACAGAAGATTAACAAAATATGATGAGGTAATAATTTTTGGTAAAAAAATAATGGTGAAAAGCTATTCGATAGTACAAACTTCATTAAGAGCACTGTATTTATTAAAGGTATATGTAATACATATTGATAATAAAAATTATTTCATTCCTCCTTCTGATGAATTGCGCATGACTTAGTGATTACAATATCAGGCAGCGGGTCGAAGGGTCAAGGTTTTGAGTGCCACAGAACACGTTATGCAATTTCAGCTGTGAGGGTGTTATAAAAATGACAGTCAATCCCATTATAAGGTCCAAAGTGCTGCTGCACTTTACCATAGTAGCGGCAGGTACTGCTCACTGGTTTTCCTTCCCCTGGTCAATAGTTAATAATAAGGGGCAGCTATACCTGAACTTTAATGGTCACTGAACTGGTAGTTTAGCAAAATTTAGCTTAAGGTACCGTTCTAACTGAAAAATTCCAATCGTTTCATTCAACCAAAAATAGTTCTCTTAAGTTATATAACACAAAATAATCAATGTCTTTTTAAGTCTTGCTAATTAGATACAATTATGATAAATTATTCAACATAGCTTTGACAGCTGTCAATACTTCTTTTTTTTAAGTAGTTTTTATGTTCAAATTTTGATGTCTTAAATTATTTTACTTGGATTTTATACTACGAATGTAGTTCTGTCAAACTAGATCTGGTAAATTTGAACTTCATGATGTAGTTTAATAATATTTGAAAGGATAATGTTTGATTGTCTTAAAACACTGCGTATTTCCATTTAACCACATTGTTGAAATTCTAAGACAGTTACTCACCTTTTTTTTCAAGTGCTACATAGCTTTTATATTTAGCGATATCTTTTTTTTCCTAATACTGATAATTTACTTTTTTATAGGTCCGGCATGGCCAGGTGGCTAGGGCGTTCGACTCGTTATCTGAGGGGTTGCGGGTTCGAATCTCCGTCACACCAAACATGCTCGCCCTTTCAGCCGTGGGGGCGTTATAATGTGACGGTCAATCCCACTATTCGTTAGGGACGGCTGGCGCAGATAGCCCTCGTGTAGCTTTGCGCAAAGTCCATAACAAACAAATGTACACTTTTCAGCAATACATGTTAAACCATTTAAATCATAAATGTCTTGCGTTTTTTACAATATAACACAAGAAATATCAAACTACTCAATTGTTTCTCTCCTTTGATAATTTCTTCCATGGTTTCGTGATCTCAAAACGTCACTCAGGTTGTAATTTTACTGAGAATCTATAGTAAAAAACATTCAAATCGTCTGTGGATGTTTGTGTGTCATTCATCAGGTGATCTCGTAGATGTTTACGTCTCTGATTGATGTTTCTACTAATTAATATCACTTGAGTCATATCACAGACTTTAAACAATTACAAAAATAAAAATATTGTTGTGCGCATTTTGAAAAACAAAACAAAAAACGCACTTCAAACTCGACTGTCCATACTAAAATTGCAGATGTAAGTCGTTTTGTCTTAAAGGATAGACAATTGTGTATCCAAAATGGGAAAACGGACATAATAAGCTTTCTCAAAAGTAAAGCTCAAGTATAATTTGTACTCTCTGTAATTTTCAATTAAGGTTTATGCACATTTTGGAAAGAGTTATACGAATATATCTTGATACTGCAATGTAAGAGATAATTCCAATTGCAAGTCTATTCTGATACCAGGATATATATATATACACCTGGAAAAAAGTTAAGCACCCCCAAATATTTTTCAGGATTGCTTATTGAAAATAAGGTTTAATTTTCATGATGTTGAGCAATGTTCATAATTTCAAACATAATTAAAAGGATGTGAGCGTTCAGGTG